GTCTTGCCAATGCCTCCCATCCCCCATATCCCTACAAAGCGAACATCATCTGTAGGAGCTACAAGCAAATCCATTTGCTCAGGTGTAAACTTAATTCCCACTAACTCCGTGGAATCTAACAATTTGTATGTGCGATGCACTTTGCTCCACACCCATTCAACAATCTTTTCAATGAGCTTTCTTTCACACCTACAAGGAAGAACAATGATTAAGTCAAAAGTATAAGCCATAGATATAACAAGGCCTAAAGGTACATGAAAGTGAAAAACCCAAGTATATATGAAGAAGTTGCTTACTCATTCTTTAAATCCAACCCAGATAGATTGGCAACTTCTGTTAAGGCAGCTCTCCAGCGCTTCACCTTTTCTATGTCTTCCCTAAACCCTTTCTCATGCTCAGCGAACGCGCCTGCAAAACTGCCGCTTTGTTTTCGCACATCGGAGGGATCCACATTATAAAACACAGGCAGAACTGTGCCGTTGGATTTCATGCATTGGAGAATCTTTGTAAGTTCATCCAAGCACCAGGAAGAAGAAGCATAGTTTGGCGAGAGAACAACGATTGCAAGCCTTGATTCTTGGATTGCTTTGAAGAGCTCCGAAGAAATACTTGTCCCTCTTTCAAGCTTTGGATCATCCATGAATGTTTTGATGCACCTGTTCTGCAATTCGTGGTATAAATGGGATAAAATGCCATTTCGAGTGTCTACACCCCTAAAACTCAAAAACACATCGTAGTTCCATTGAGGAGGAGCCGACTGATCAGCTGAAGGATGAAAAGCAGAGGCTCTTTGGGTGCTCAACGCCATTGGAAATCTGCTGCTTCTGATGTAAACACTACTCAATGAAACAAGAACTTCGCTAAGTAAATATTCAAAAATCAAAACACTCAACTGAATAAATACGAAGATGATCATAAATGGCTTGAAAAATCAAAAAGATTGAAATTGAAATTTGGAAAATTACGGGCGTTAATGCAGCAGAACAAGTTTCAGAGCAACTGGGTAAATTTAGATAGTCAAACACGGTGTTAATTTGGATCATCTAAGCAAACATGTCAATTTGGACCATGTTAGCAAACACGTCTACTTCCAATTCAGCGGAGAGAAATTTAACATTAAACGACCAATTTCAACATTAAAACCAAAATAATGGGTGAACTAAAAAACTCAAATGCTTTATCTTAATGTTACCTGAACAAAGCAATTATGAAATGGAGACAAAGCCAGAGAGAATTGGTAAGACCAACAATATGAAGCTAACAGCCTCAGAAAAGAGACAGAGATAGAAAAAGAGAGAAGAGAAAGACGAGCACACGGTTTCTCTTGGGTCAATGATCGGGCCAATTATTTATTTTTATTCTTGGTGTGGTGATAATTTTTTTTTATTATTTATTTTATTTTATTCTTGGTGGGTGTGAGAAAAGGCAATTACTTGATATTTCCCTCAGATCAATCAATGATATAATTTTTTTGTTAAAGCATATGAAGTAAGCATTGACTCAAAACTCATTAATTAGTCACCTCCTCTGCAAATGCTTCGCCCAAAGAGCAATATAACTCTGCACAAATCACAGCCCAACCCAGTTTTGTTAGGGCAATTTGCAGTGATCACAGTGGGTTCCCCAACCTTCTCTGCCTTGCTAATTACCACAACATCCTGCAAAGCTCAGCGGCAATGGAGAAAGTGTGAGCCAAAACGCACTGCATGCCAAAGTCAACAAAATTTCCTATCCATGGACTCACTGCAACCTTCTCTGCCTTCCTTTCTTTTCTCTCTGTGTTTTCCTAAAAGACTATAGTGCAAATATGATCAAGTTTTCCACTTGACAAATTACTACAAGCAAAATGTGACATTAATAAATGCAATTAGATCGATATTTTGACCAAAATTTAAGATACTCAAACTCAAGTAAATCCAAAACTCAGTAAGAGACTTGGACTTGAAAAATCTAACAAACCCAAAATTGAAAGGTAGTCCCAAGAAAGGATGAAAAGTACTTCCTATCTCTTAGCTTGAGCCTTGAAATATAAATATCAATTAAACTAGGTATACCAACTTCATATCTCTGTTTTACTGTACAGACCAACGAAGTATGAAAATGTACTAAAACCACAAGAAAAAAAGGTAACAACAGCTTTGGTGGTCCAAAATGGATTAAAATCTGTAAAAAAATCCTTCATATCTTATAGCTGGAAAGGGAAGAATAAATTAAACTAGAGTCGTTGTCAAATTATTAAATAAAGATCAAAACCAAATTGTACCAACTTGAGATCTCTGTTTTACACAAGAGAGTCGGGTCAAAGAAAAAGAAAGGTGAAGGGGAAATTTCCCGAACAACACCCTCCCTAGCTGACAAAACAAGAATATCTGAACAAGAAACAGCTCCAGGGCACTCCCTCTCCAGTGCTTCTTTAATTTCTTCAATGTACCTAAAGTTTCTCATCCCAAAGCTCATGGTCTGAAAAATAGCCACACAAAAAAAAAATAAATAAATAAAACTGGGGAATAAGTACAGATCTGCTGGATAAAACCCAATTCGGTTCCATATAGGTTTCAAAAACAAACAAAACTAAACAACTACTGAAGGTTTTTAGGTCTAATGGTCTCTAAATTTTGACCCGATTTGCATTTTGGTCCCTCAATTTCTAAAATTGTTCTCGTGGTCTTTCAACTTCACTTTCGTTAGGACAAATAGTCTTGTCATCAATTTTGTTATTTTTTATGTTATGCAGAGGTAAAATGGTATCTTTGTATTATTTTTATTTTCCACCATCTGAATATTCCTTTCACTCTAAAAATAAAATTAAAAATTAAAAAACCTTCTTCCTATCCTCGCCATCGCATGGAGGGTGGGGGTGTCATTGTGGGAGCACCATTAGTTGTCTCCGGGTTGGTGGGTTAATTGACTCGGTGTCGGGTGGAAGTTGTCCATGGCTTTGTTGGAATATTTAGATGGTAGAAATTAAAAATAATACAAAAATACTATTTTGCCCCTACCTTTAATAGAAAAAGTTAATAAAAATACCATTTTATGACTTAGACATTGAGAATAAATAGCTTATTGAGAATGCTATACACTACTACATTTTAGTCTTTGCGCGACGAAAGTGTTTTCG